AGTCTGCTTCTCCTTCTCCCACTCCCCCTGCTTGTGTTCCCTCTCGCTGTGTCTCTTTCTATCAGATAAATAAATAAAATCTTAAAAAAATAATAAAAAATAAAATTATTTTTCATGTGTCCTTGATGATGTCAAAATGTACAAGTTTGTAGAGTCACTAAAGAGTAGCACGTGTCTATCGCTTCACTTCACACTCCAGGATAGGTAGGATAGCTCCAGAGATGGGGAAATCAGGAGTGGGGTTTGGATCCTTGTAAATTTCAAAGCCTAATTCCTTCAGTCTCTTAGATGAGCATCTGCTTCAGGACTATTCCCCAGAGTTGCTGGAATAGCGGTAGGATTTCGTGAAATGTCCTGGAAGGGGCATGGTATCTACTCGGGAAGATAGGTGGGGCCATACCTGTTAGGATGTTGCCACTACACCTGTTCATTCATTCTATAAATGGTTGTTGATCCACACATGCTAACTTGGGCGTGTTTTTTTTTCTAACAGCAAGTGCCACATATGTCATATTCTAATTAGCAAGAGGTCAGAAATGTCATCACGCTGCAAGCAAAAGGTTTTGTGGTTTAAACTTCTGTAACTGCATGTTGTGAGTGGGCTGGATTTAAGAAAGAAACCTGATCCCTGTTAGAACATCCCCAGCCACACAAAGTTCATGTTTAAAATTCTGATTCTTCACTCTCCAGCTGTTCCTTGCTTCGGTTTCCTTTCAGAGAAACTGGACTTGTAAAAATCAGGCTTCCTTGTGCCCCATTTTTTAATCATAATGGTGGTTGCAGGGCAGGGGCCAGTGGAGTGTTGCCTCTAGGTAGGTGGGTGTTGTGGACTTCTCACTAACAGTGTTCTCTGCTAAAAATCTTGAAAAGGAGGTTTCTGCTTGCGCAGAAGACCCCTATGTCTGTTAATGGGATGGATCCCCTGGTATTCAAGACCAGAGCAGCTGGCTTCTGAAAAGCTGGCTTGGATGACAGATCTGGGTTCACATAGAGACAATGAGGCCAGATTTGCTGGCCTGCAAAGGAGCATTGTCTCCAGTTTTTCAGCATTTGTTTTAGCTCAGGTAATTCGTGCTCTTACTTTGTGCCCCTGAATCAAGAGGCATCACTACCAAGGCCTGGTCTAAAGGAGGAGGGCTCCGGGGGTGAATGTTCCACAGATGGGGGGCCAGGTGTGGTGGTCAGGGCCAGCCACAGCCCAGTGAGTCTCTTCGGGGGTTCCTTCTGGGGCTTGCCTCTTGGAGCAGAGGAAGATCAGGTGCTGCAGCTGGCCGCGGCCAAGGCACACCCACGTTCGGAGTTTTAAGGGTGAAGGCAGCAGATGGAAACCTACATGCAGGACAGTTGCTGAAAGCAGGTGCATTGGGGAGGCTTGTGTGTGTCCTTGAGGTACTTTTGATGGGCTCATTTCTTCTGACGCAGTATCTTTTTACCCATTGGTAGAAGAGTGATTTTCTACTCCCAGTTTCTCTTTGTCAGATGGCATTTATTCTTGGTTGAGATGCCCCACCTCAACTGTGGGCAGGCTTCAGTCCCTCTTCACCGTTTTCAGAGTAGGGAGTTGGGATACAGACACCTCCAGTATTGGCAAATTAGGGTTTGGGGTTTTTATTAAGTATCGTTATGGACTCAAGCTTTTATGTACATTTAATGTGCTGAATCAATTTTGGTTGTATATTTATAATGTTTTATTATGAAAATTTTCAAACATACATCGAAGGTGACACGATTTTACAGTGAACAACTACCTGTAGATAAAGCCTTGGTTCTGCCATTGACATTTGACTATGGTTGTTTATTTGTTTTTGACTATGGTTTTGTCTCACACATCTCCGTCTGTTCTGGTCATCCTTCAGTCCACAGTTATTTATTCATGCATTTACTGGATGTCTCTGACCTATAATCCACTTTATTCTTATGATGCATTTCAAAGTAGCAGAAAGTTGCTGTCTTGTATCTAAATATTAACTAGAATCCAGTATTTATTTATAGTTTTTTTTTATAGTTTTTTTTTTTAAGTAATGCACAAATCTTGAGTATACCATTCAGTTAGTTTTGACCACTGCATACGCTCAACCCCTGCCAAGATGGAGACCGTGACCATCACCCCGAAAGCACCCCTCCCAGATGTCCCTGCCATCACCTGTGTAAGGCAACTGCTGAGCACTTGTGGCTCTTCTAGAACTTCATACATACGGCAGCATTTTATGTTTGTTTTGTTTTTTGTATTCCATTGCTGCAAATATAGCTGGTGGGAGCCTTTACAAGTCAACTCCTTGTCCTTTGGACTTGCACTAGTGTCCGAGCGCTTCCTTGCTTTCTGATCTGCAAATGACCGGGCTCACACAGTCCCAGGGCGAGGTGCCGAATCAACCATTTCTTTGGAGAGCTCCTTTTAGAAAGTTAGACAATGTCAGGTCTGTAAAATCCAGAATGAAAAGGTCTTAGCCTTCTGAAACCTTGGTTTAAGCTCTGTTGTTTTTAAAGCCTCTGCATTTGATGTTTGTGGCGGAGGAGGAGTGTAGTATGAAGAGCTGGTACGTGTACGGTGAAATGCTGGCTCCTAGCGCCTTGTTGGGCTTGGAAGGAAGGAGTTTCTTCTCTACCTTGTGCCAGCCAGCCAGGTCCACGGGGGCCAGGCCCTTGTCTGACATGTCTGTCACCGTCTCAGCAGCCAGCCCCGGGGCCTGGTGTGGAGGAGGTATATGCTAAATACGTGTTGAGTAAATAAATACGGTTTTTATTTTTATTTTTTTAAAGATTTTATTTATTTGACAGAGACACAGCGAGAGAGGGAACACAAGCAGGGGGAGTGGGAGAGGGAGAAGCAGGCTTCCTGCTGAGCAGGGAGCCCAGTGCGGGGCTCGATCCCAGGACTCTGGGATCATGACCTGAGCCGAAGGCAGACGCTTAACGACTGAGCCACCCACACGCCCCTAAACACGGTTTTTAAACATCAGCCTTCTTTATCAGGTTGATGAGGTTCCAGCATAGATGCGGCCAGGAGTGGGGGCTGTTTAACATGGCCATATCACCAGTAGGTTGGGATTTCTCAGAGTCTGCTTCTTGGCTTAGAACTGGGTATCTGAGCGTTGGTTAAATTTTTAGATGACCTGTGGTGGCTGCACTTTAGTTAGGAGTACATAAGTCTGTTCTGCAATTAAAGAAAAAACTGGATTGGCAGTTTTCAGACATCACAAGTGAATCCCAACATACCCGTCTCCCAGCTTCAACAGCTGTAAGCACTTCGCCATCCTGTTTTATCTTTGTCCCCGTCTCCACTGCCTGCCTCCCTGGAGTGTTTTAGAGCAAACACCAGGCGTGTACTTTCAACCATAAATTTATCTTAAATACATACCTAACAGGTAAAGCATTCTTTTTGAATACAATCTTGATATCCTGTGTTCCTAACTGAATGAATGGGAACTTCTTCATAGAGGATGCACTTTGTCACTCATTGCTTAGCCCCCAGGGCAACCTGGCAAATGGAGATCTTGTTGGTAGAAGTTGGTGCCATTATGAAGGGTCCATGGGGTTTGTGCTGCATGCTTTCTGTAAGTTGACTTGTTTAATTTTCACTCCTCTTGCCAAGGTAGGGGAGTGCCGCATCAATGTCACAGGTGTAGAAGGAAGCTGCAAGGAAACTTAAGGGCCACATGGCTAGTGGCTGGGCAGGCAGGGTTTCAAGCCCAGGTACGTGCTGAAGCTCCCACTTGGTGGTGACCGAGTTGTTCATCAGCGGTACCGTGAACAGCTGAGTCCAGAGATTGGCCTCCACTCTTCTCCCCACCCCACCAGGCATAGTCTTGACCCCTGCTTGTGCGTAGCTCTGCAGGATTTTCACCTCTCATTCCACCTTTCAGTTTTATAGTTCTACTTTGAAACTTACAAATTTGCAATTAGATTGTTAGGAAGTCCTGAAGCATTGTGGGAAATTCTTGTTTTGGCCCATCATGTCCAAGTTTGTCCTTGAAGTGTGTGCCTTTCCAGGTGGGGCCTGTTGCCCTGGCTGGTAACTGACCAAGATCAAAGGGGCTGTGTGGTTGGATGGGATGGGTGGATTCATCTGTTGTGTATTACCGTGATGAATTTTTTGTTGTTGTTGTTTACTCATTTGGAAGATTTCAGTGTGGACCAGACTGTTTGCACAGAGTGGGAATTGAGTAGGTTGTAGTCAGCATGTTATTTAGAGCCCAAGATGGTAATTACAGCTGTGCTTGCCCTGAAGACTTCTTTTTTTTTTTTTTAAAGATTTTATTTATTTATTTGAGAGAGAGAGAGAGCATGAGAGGGGGGAGGGTCAGAGGGAGAAGCAGGCTTCCCGCCAAGCAGGGAGCCAGATGCAGGACTCGATCCTGGGACTCCAGGATCATGACCTGAGCTGAAGGCAGTCGCTTAACCAACTGAGCCACCCAGGCGCCCGCCCTGAAGACTTCTGTTGCGCACTTGAGTTCTGTCGGCCTCTCCAAAATGGAACCCACAGGTGTGGCCACGTGGTGCTGTGGTCACATCCACCTGATGTTTCAGAAGGTTCTTTCCTTCCGGTTTATAGAAGCTCCTGTCTCATGCTTTCCTTCCATTTTTTTCATTACCCTCAAAGACCAGAGCTCCTTCTGTCTCTTTTCCTTGTCCAAACACCAAGAGTTTGCTGAACATTTGTATTGTTACCTTTTATTGGAGGCTCATTGATTTTTTATTTTTTTTTTATATTTGTAAAAACTGGCATACTTTGCATGAAAAAAAGATGAAAGAAGATGAAGTAGAAAGAGTGGGAAGTCAGAGTTGGCTTCTGAAACCAGCTGTTTTCATTTTTAGGGGATTTTGTAATTAGTTGTTTGTACCTCAGCAGTGGTTACTTGGAAATAAAGATGTGCCCTGCTGTGTTACCGGGGCCCCTTCACGTGGTTGCACCACTGTCTTTTGTCCTATTCAGTATCTGGCTGCTAAAATTCATCCATCTATGGAATATTTGAAACTAAAAAGATTTTCTGATCTTATAGATAGTTGAAGTATTGATAACACCAAGGAAATCTGTTACAATTTGAAAAGATAAGCAAACATTTGATTTCCAGACACTACAGCAAAAGAAGTAAAAATGGTAAGTTTTTTTTAATCTTACTTATTTCTTTATTCGTATTTAGAGATGTAGCATTTCCCCAAGGCATTTGATCCTCATGTTTTTTCATTAGACTTCTTGAATTATAAAATACTACTACATAGTGTTAAGAGTTCACACGTATATACATACAGACACACATAGGAAGTTGAGTGTGCCCCCTTTCTCTCAACTGCCTTGAGAATGAACAGCTGTTCCCTCTGGTTGTCCTGCTTCTCAGACCTTCAGTAGTGGTCGTGTAGGGGGCCTACTTTGACACAAATGATAAGGCATAATTCTGAGTTGGGCAGCTTGAAAGATGAGTGGAGGGTTGCTCGATGTCTCTGCAAGGTTTTTAACTGAGTGTTCGCATTTCCAGCGTCCAATGCGAATTTTTGTGAATGACGATCGCCACGTGATGGCAAAGCACTCTTCTGTTTATCCAACCCAAGAGGAACTGGAGGCAGTCCAGAACATGGTGTCCCACACAGAGAGGGCTCTCAAAGCTGTGTCTGACTGGATAGACGAACAGGAGAAAGGCAGCAGCGAGCACGCGGAGTCCGAGAATGTGGATGTGCCCCCAGAGGATGAGACCAAAGAAGGGGCTGGGTACGTTTGAGGTTTTGGAGGGTGGGGATCCTTCCTAGAGAGTCTGGCCAGCATGGGAGTGAGCATCTTCTTTTCTAAGAAACTCCACCCTTTCCACGGCCTCTGGGTTCTGGCTGCACGGAATCCCTCACTGAGCGTACTTTGGTGTGTCCCTCAGGGAGCAGAAGACGGAGCACATGACCAGAACCCTGCGGGGTGTGATGCGCGTTGGCCTCGTGGCAAAGGGCCTGCTGCTCAAGGGGGACTTGGATTTAGAGCTGGTGCTGCTATGTAAGGAGAAGCCCACTACCGCCCTCCTGGACAAGGTGGCTGACAACCTCGCCATCCAGCTCGCTGTGAGTGTGACTGCCTCCACGGGGCGGGGTCAGGTCATGCTTGTTGAGGACGGCGGGACAGGAAGAGAGGCTGGTTTGTGCTGTGCACTAGGAGGCACACTACAAACCCCCGCTTGCACGTGCTTGCGCATGCCTTATCAGTAGGTGATGGGCAGGATGCCGCAGGGCTGCTAAGGTCCTGGTGCCTGATTGACCGAGATGGGCCCAGACACTCTGTCAGCCGGGAAAGGCTCGGTGCCTACCATGTGGTGGGCTGCACTGTTCGGGGCTGCACCGGGCTAGAGCTCTGAATCCACGCTCAGTGGGGTGGATGGGCGGATAGAAGGTATAATGATTAACTCTTCCTCCCTGATCCAAAACTGGACATAAGAACTTTTTAAAAACCAGCTTATTTATTTCATTACAAAAGTGTTGCATAAGTAATAGTCTCTGATATTTCTTGAGAATTGACTACACCACACCCTAGGCCAGGTGTGCTGTTTATATGTGTATCTTTTTCTTCTCACAACGACCCTTGGAGATAGGATTTTATCGTCCGAGTATTTTAGGAGATGTGACTAGGGCGCAAGGAGCTGAGTGGTTGATCCCAGGATCCCTGGTTGTGAGTCCTGGCGTTTTAGGACCTCCATGCGTCCCCACCGTATGCTGCATCCTTGGGACACACTCACCCTCAATTTAGCAATAGTAGCAGCAGAAGAATAAAGTAACGAAACAAAACTAAGAAATCACATTCCTTAGGGAAAGGCACTGTTCATTTTCATATGTAAACATGGATTTTTTTTTTTCCACATGTAACTGATAATTTGGTATTTAGGGTAGAGGTCAGAATTGAAATGTGGAGCTAATGCAGTTCAGTAGATACTTCTGGAGAGCTGTATTTCAGGTGAATGAAGGACTAAACTTTTCTGTTTTGGTGGTAATTTTATGTTAATTTTAATCCATGTCTATCAAAAGTATATTCATTGGTGAAAATTACGTTGTTGTAAATGTTTCTAAAGGAAAGACATCTTTTGTAAAAAGTCTTTAAAGAAAGATACGAATAAAGTGTGTTTTTATTGATTCAGATTAGTGGTTTTTGACTGGGGCGATTTTGCCCCCCACAGAGGACATTTGGCGAGTTGGAGACAGTTTTGGTTGTCACGGGGGCGGGGGGGAGTGGGGTGCTGCTGATCTCCGCTCGGTGGGGGCTGGAGATGGCTGCTCAGTGTCCCGCAAGGCGGACGCTGGCCCAGCAGCCCAGAGGGTCCCTAGTGCTTACGTGGAGAACAACCCCAGTTTAGATCTTTCAGTGTGCATTTGTCTTCCCCTCAATGTGGTATTTCCTTTATGTTTTCCCTAATGAAACCTGTAAGAGCTTGAATTTTCTTCATTAAGGCACATATAAACTGGTAGAAAGGAGAAAGCAGAAGACAGGTGAACATCCTTTTGTAGAAACATGCGTTTGCAGCAACCACATGCTTTTCTGTGTGTGCATCATATGATACAGATTACCTTACTACACTGTTTCTTTCCACATTGATGGCTGCTCACCCCAGGAGGGAAACACCAGTGGTGGATTCCGCTCAGCTGGGGGTTGTATTTGCACGTGGTGTCTGTGTAAGCCTCCTGCAGCCTGGTGGTTTAGGTCTTGTCAAGAAGTCCATTTTATACATTAGAAACCAGCATCTGAATGAGATGAAGTGACTTGCCCAGAGTTACCCAACTACCAGGCGACAGAACGAGGATTCACACTCTTGTCTCCTTCTCCCAGCCCCTGAAGTGTTACCCATCGCATTGTAAAGCTCCCCATGAAAAATGCCTTCTCTGTGCAGTTAGAGACCTCCACTCTGGAGTACCCAGAAAATGGCCAGAGACATGGTGGGCAGAAGGGAGGTCCTGATCCCCTAGATGAAGGAGCTGCTGTCCCGTCACCCTGCAAGAAGCTGACGTGTGCTGGGGTAACCAGTGAGACAGAGCTGTTGATTGCCTGCCTTGAGGAGGAAGTGTGTTTGAAAGTTGCATTCTCTTTTGTAGGCGGTCACAGAAGACAAGTACGAAATACTCCAGTCTGTTGACGATGCTGCGATTGTGATAAAAAACACAAAAGAGCCTCCATTGTCCCTGACCATCCACCTGACATCCCCTGTTGTCAGAGAAGAAATGGAGAAAGTATTAGCCGGAGGTAGGGAGGCTGAGAAAGGCCAGCAGGACTGTGGAAACTTGGTGTTCCCTCGCCAGGCAAATGTGCTATTCAGTTTTAGCCTGCTTTGGTAAAAGGCTGTCGGTGTAGCTTTGACCACCTGTAGACTCTGAGATCACATCTCCCGTGCAGTTTCAGTACTTGGGAGTTTGACAAAACGGTTGCACTAAAAGTGAGTAGCACTTTTCATAGAGGATTGCACCATTTTTTGTTTATCTGAATCCTTGAGTGTTCTCATCAGTGTTAAACTTGGTTTTTCTGTTGAGCGTTCTCTGGCCTTGGAAAAGTGTGTCCCTGGTGATTTTATGGCTTTTAAATTCTGGAAGACTACCAGATGGTTTCTGCATGAACATCACGTTGGAGTCGTGCAAACAGCTTGTGTCGCAGCAGAACCGAGGGCTGCCTCGCTTGGCCTCGCTTGGCCTCTTCCAGGGGCTGCTTTTATCAGCTGCCGGGATTGAAATGCAGAGAGCTGGTACAGAGTTTTGGATAAAGTTGTAAACGGTTGTGTGATTTGCAAACCAAAACCAAAAACTTTCCTAATTCAAAGGCCACCAAGGGCCCCTCCTGTGTCTCTTCTGCGAGGATGGTTTTTATTGGCGCTCACGCCGCAGAGCGGAGGTGAGCGGAGGTGACGGTCGCAGGCCTTATCCAAACCCCTGACACCCGGGTGGCGGCAGTGACAGCTCTCCAGTTCTGCTGCAGCAGAGGCTCTCACCTTGCGCCCTTGTTGCTATTCTTTGATTACCTTTGGTTCTGATACCTGATTCCAATTATCAATTTAGGGACTCTGGACCTTTGACCAACAGGACTCTCTCTGTCAAGGGCTGGGGCTAGGGCAGTCCCGCCTGGTGGGCGGAGGTGGTCCCCCTTTGCCGCAGATGCCTCAGGGGATGGCCGTTGTGGGAAGCAGAGAGGGAGTTCATTTCCACTCCCCCCCCACCTATTTTGGTGCTTTTGTTTTTGTTTTTTGGGGGGTTTTGTTTTGTTTTTGTTTTTATTGGTTTTTTTTTTTTTCTTTTTGTTTTTTGGGTTTTTTTGCTATTGAAATTTTTAGCATAGCTAATTTATCGGGAGATCATGGGGAGGAAGCAAGGTAATTGTCTATTAGAAGATAGGATCCACCTATCTGTCCCCCTCCCCCATGGGATGATTCCTTTTAGAGTAACTTCCCACTTTTGTTCTTGTTTTTGTTTTTTTTGGAGGGGCCTCCAATTTTTACGATCTCCTCAGGGCAGAGTTAAATGCACTCTAGCTTCTCCTTCCCTGGTCTAGGGTGGAGATGACTTGAGATTCTGGGAGCCTCAGCTGCCCTTTAGGAAGCTGCCACATCCCCTTTCCACCTGACAGAAACCCCTTGGTCAAACTGTACCTTGTCTTCTTATTCCATCCATGAATAGAAACGCTATCAGTCAACGATCCCCCGGACGTTCTGGACAGGCAGAAATGCCTTGCTGCCTTGGCGTCCCTCCGACACGCCAAGTGGTTCCAGGTTTGCATTTTGTTCTTCTATTTGTCTTTTGGTAGAGAATTCCTAAGTTTTAACTTGGCTAACTTGCACCATAAAGTTTCGGTAACGTTGAAGATCGCCGTGCCGAGCTTAGCACCTGCAGGCGTGCGGTTGCTAACGGAGCGCGCATAGACAAATTTGACGTCCCCAGAGGAGGCTTGTGACTGAGTAGGTGGGCTGCTGCTGCTTTGTGCCAAGAGTAACCTGTTCTGATCCACGTGGTGAAACCGCTGCGGACCACACACTTGATGGTCTTGAGCGTTCACCATTTACCCTTGACAAAGTAGCACCCTGAGACTTGTGTTTTTCATGTTTGCCTTGTGTTTAAGGGAGGTTCCTTGGTATAAAGAGCCTGTGCTTTGTTCTCTAGGCCAGAGCCAACGGGCTGAAGTCGTGTGTCATTGTCATCCGGGTCCTGAGGGACCTGTGTACCCGCGTGCCCACCTGGGGTCCCCTCAGAGGATGGGTAAGGCACCTTGTAGCTATGGCCACTTGAGGGTCAGATATGCAGAGATGTTTTCCCACATCCCAGGAATATGTTGCGATAACTGGGCTGGAGGGGCCCTCTGGGGTGTGGCCGATGGATCCCCGTACTAGCCATTTATTGAGCAGCTACTTTGTGCCACTCCCTGGGTGGGGGATGAGAGCTAGAACAGGACGGCCATCCCCATTCTTGGCCCCCCCCCCAGTGGTGGACACAAGCTCAGCCTAGGGAGGGGGCCAGCCAGGTAGCATGTTTACTGTGACACTGTTCTCCACGAAGAATTTTTGTAGCTGTTCTTGGACAGGGGTCAGCAAAGTGGGGCCCATAGGCCAAATCTGGCCAGCTGCCTATCTCTGCCCGTAGTTAGAGGGTTTTTATATTTTTAAGCGGCTACATAATAAATATAAATACCTACATAACCGCCTCAGCTTGGCCTCTTGGCTCACATAGTCTGACAGATTTACTGTTTGTCCCTTTAAGGAAAAGTCACTAAGCCAGGCTGTAGTTGTCCTGATTTCAGTTTAGCCTCAACTTGTGAACTTGGAGGGCTTTGACACCCCTCCCCCCAAAAAACACACACACACATAGTGACAGCTCCTCAGTGTCGGCTGACCACCTCCTGGACACTGGAGCTAACTGTCCCTCTTGCCTTTCAGCCCCTTGAGCTTCTCTGTGAGAAGTCCATCGGCACGGCCAACAGACCAATGGGTGCCGGCGAGGCCCTGCGGAGAGTGCTGGAGTGCCTGGCGTCGGGGATCGTGATGCCAGGTTGGGGCCTTGTGCTTTGCAAGTTGCAGGGAAAGGACAGGGATTGAGGCCCTGAGGCCGCTTCCTGGTGGGTCCCCCGACTGGGTTAGGGCAGCAGCAGCCCCGTGTCCCCCTAGGGCTGAAGCATGTGACTACCCTCTTGCACCATCATATCCAGCCCTGTGCCGGCTCCGCAGCTGTGACTCAGGGCGGATCCGGGGCAGTGGTGACCCACTCCCACGCGAGCTCCTTGCTCTGAGACACGTGGATTATTTATCTCATGGGCTGGACGCCGAGTGGGTCACCGAGCTCAGCGTGTTTTCCAGAGCTGGGTGTGGATGGGGCGTGGGGGGTAACGCACCTGGTTCCCTCAGGCAGCACAACTCTTCCAAGATGCTAAAAGATAATCCTCTGCATATCTTCCTTGTTTCCTGCCTTCAGATGGTTCTGGCATTTATGACCCTTGTGAAAAAGAAGCCACTGATGCTATTGGGCATCTAGACAGACAGCAACGGGAAGATATCACACAGAGTGCGCAGGTATAGTCTTCGCCATTGCCACCGTGAGCCCTTACCCAGGCTGTAATCGCTGGCTTCCAGTTCCGTTACTGGGTATTCTCAGGGTAGCCGCTGGACTCATAGGCTCAGGTTGGGGACCGAAGGTGAAGGGATTGTGCCTGATACAGGGCGCCCCAACCTGGGCTGCTTCTTTCCCTTGGCGCCATGCGTGGTTGTCGCCTGTCCCCTCAGCCTGCTCGAGTGCTATTTTTGGACACCGAGCTCAGTGGGGAGATGTTATTTGCAGTGTGCACTGCTCCAGGGTCCTTCCCTTACAGGCCCACCACGTGGCTCCGTGTGGCAACCAGTCCCCAGGTTGGGGTCTCCTGTATTCCTCTCAAGGGGGGTGATCACAGGCTGGACTTCCCCCACAGCAAGGTTGGGCCCTGGCAGTCAGGCCCTCCCCTGGCTGTTGGGGGACCCCTTGCTGTTGTAGGGGAAACCGTTAGCAACCCCCTCAGCTCCCACCCCTTCCAAAAGGCGTTAGTGAGCGCACAGTCCCTGGCAGGGAGCACAGGGCGGCTGAGTCAGGTCCTCTTCCCCTCCTCCAGCATGCCCTGCGACTCGCTGCGTTCGGCCAGCTCCATAAAGTTCTGGGTATGGACCCTCTGCCTTCTAAGATGCCCAAGAAACCAAAGAATGAAAACCCAGTGGACTACACAGGTAAGCACGCCGCAGGGGCCCGGCGCCAGGCTGGTGGTGTCCGCGTGGGCTGCTGGCAGGAGCACAGGAGGGATTCTCAGCCTTTTCTCTTGTGATCTCTTCCTTCAGTTCAAATCCCCCCCAGCACCACGTATGCCATTACGCCCATGAAGCGCCCGATGGAAGAAGATGGGGAGGAAAAGTCTCCCAGCAAAAAGAAGAAGAAGATTCAGAAGAAAGGTACTAGCATTGGTTTCTAGTCCTTAGTGTGTCTTTCCTCTGGCTCAATTAAGAGTCATCCCGAAGTGGTGAGATGCTTGCTTTTGCCTTAATTTTCTCAGACAGGATATCGCAGCCCGTTGTTAAATGACTGCTTGTTGTGGGGTTCTGGAACGCAAGTGGGGTGGCCACGCTGGGAGCAGCGTGGGTGAGGCCTTGGCCAGCGTGGGCTCCCAGGCCACCGGGCCGTGCGGCAGGAGGTCGTCCGGGGAGTGCTGACTGACAGTCCAGAACAGTGTTGGGGTTCTCTCTCTGTAGAGGAGAAGGCAGAGCCCCCTCAAGCTATGAACGCCCTCATGAGACTCAACCAGCTGAAGCCAGGCCTGCAGTATAAGCTGGTTTCCCAGACCGGCCCGGTGCACGCCCCCATCTTTACCATGTCTGTGGAGGTGGACGGCAGCTCATTCGAGGCCTCCGGACCATCCAAGAAGACGGCCAAGCTGCACGTGGCCGTGAAGGTAAACATGGGCAGGGTCGGGCACCCAGTGCTTGTTCTCTGCACAGCAAAGCACTTCTGCATTTTGGGCTCCTGTGGAGCTGTCCGAGGCTATCGAAACCCTCAGCGAGGACAACTCAAGGCTTAGGGAGGGTGTGTGAACGCTGAGTTGAGATGTTTAAGTGTCTGCCAAGTCACACATGGAAGAATGGCTTCGTCGTTGTGGTTGACAGGCAGAGTCCCCAAATGTAGCTGGGCAGCAGGGTTTCGGGGGATCGGGGAGACAGCCTCCAGTGCTGGCTGCCACCCTAGGAGCCTCTGATTCAGGATCCTGGGGAAAGGGCGGAGATCTTTGTAGATGACCCTGGTGCTAAGTCCCCCTCCCTAACTGGGGAGCCTTGCGGGTGTCCCTCCTGCAGGTGTTACAGGACATGGGCCTGCCTACCGGCGCAGAAGGCAGAGACTCCAGCAAGGGGGAGGATTCCGCTGAGGAAACGGAAGCAAAGCCGGCCGTGGTGGCCCCTCCGCCTGTGGTGGAAGCCTCTTCGACCCCCAGTGCTGCCTTCCCCTCAGATCCCACCGCCGAGGTGAGCACATGGTGGGGGCCGGCAGCTCTGTGTCCTGTGAGCCAGCAGGGTTACTGGTTCTTGTTACTCACGCCCCCTCCTCCCCCCAAAGAGTAGCTTCCAGTCTAGGGGCCTGCACGGGGAGCTGGGTGTGAGCCTTTGAGCCACCACCAAGAGGGCCCTGCTGATGCTGACCCAGCGCCCAGGGCTGCAGTGGGATGGCCCTCGGTCAAAGGCTGGCCATGCCCCAGAGAGAGGGTGCGGGTGGAGGCAGTCCTGTTGCTGGGAGGCCCTCAGATGACTTCCAGAGGCTGGGAGGCGAGGGTGGTGCGGGACAGCAGGGAAAATGGAGTGGAGGGGCCTCTCTCATGTTTGGGGGGCAGCTGCCCTCCTCCACATGCCGGAAGACCCTTAGCTGAGTTTTTTGGTTTTCTTTTCTGTTTCCCCTGAGAACGTAAAACAGCAGGGGCCGATCCTGACCAAGCATGGCAAGAACCCTGTTATGGAACTTAACGAAAAGAGGCGTGGCCTCAAGTATGAGCTCATCTCCGAGACCGGGGGCAGCCACGACAAGCGTTTCGTCATGGAGGTGAGCAGCTGGCTCCCCAGGAGAGCACTTCTGCCCCAGGGGGAGGCACCGGGCCACGCTGACCATGCGTCTGTTCTTCCTAGGTCGAGGTGGACGGACAGAAGTTTCAGGGTGCTGGCTCAAACAAAAAGGTGGCAAAAGCATATGCCGCTCTTGCCGCACTAGAAAAGCTATTCCCTGATGCCCCTCTCGCCCTGGAAGCCAACAAGAAGAAGAGAGCCCCTGTCCCCGTCAGAGGTGGACCGAAATTTGCTGCTAAGGTAAGCAGTTGGCCGGCCGTCTCTGGCCCTAGCTCGAGTTCTCCTGTGGTTGGAGTGCGAGGTGAACGCCCCTCGTCTCTGTTCTCTCCCTGCAGCCACATAACCCTGGGTTTGGCATGGGAGGCCCCATGCACAATGAAGTGCCCCCGCCCCCGAACCTTCGAGGGCGGGGAAGAGGAGGAAACATCCGAGGTCGAGGAAGAGGGAGAGGATTTGGTGGCGCCAACCATGGAGGCTACATGAACGCTGGTGAGGACCCTTGCCTTGTGTTGGCCCGTGGACCCTGCTTGCTCCCTGGAGCGTGCGGGGCCCCTGGGGTCAGGCCGAGACGGCGGGAGAGCAGGGGCAGGGCAGACTCACCTTCCAGCCCTGTAACCCTGTGTGTGTTCCTTCCAGGCGCGGGATATGGCAGCTATGGGTATGGAGGCAACTCGGCGACAGCAGGCTACAGTAAGTGTGTGTTTCTCTTTGTCTGAGGTTGGGGAGAAGCTACAGTTTAGCTGCCACACCTGAGTTAGAGCAGGGCGGCCCAGCAGCAGCAGCCTCCCTGAGATTTAGGAGTGGCACGCACCTCTTCTCAGGGGTGGTTAGGGCAGACGATCCTCCAGCCCCGTTCTGCAAAAGTGTAATTTGTTCTTTAAATGTTAACACACATATTTGTGTGACTTGAAATTTTCTTAAGAGTCAGAATTTTAAATTTCTCTGCTGTAAGCCATGCGAAGCACCAGTCCTCTGATGATGCTTTTCCTGACAGTGCGCAGCTCTTGTCTTGAGAAGGAGCCTTCATTGGGGGGTTACAGGAGCAGAGAAATCTAAAACATGAATTTCAAATGTGGCGCTCTGTGCCATTTTTCAAAAGAATTCTAATTTTTTTTCTCTGCTCTGTCTCCCCCTTTTGTAGGTGACTTTTTCACAGACTGCTACGGCTATCATGATTTTGGGTCTTCCTAGAGCATCTAAAAGTATTGCACACAAAATCAACTTTTTACTCCAATTTTCTCGAACTCCAAAACCCAAAGTGTCCGTGCTGTGCCCCTGTGCTTCACTGGGTTTCTCAACCGTGGCTTGTCACCGCAGCTTGTCTGAAACTCTTAGCCTGCAGAATTTAAGACAATGGCAGTTTTTATCGTGATTTGCCTTTGAACTTGGTCATATTGAAGTTCACAATAAGTGGAAAACAATTTTCAGAGAATGCATTTTTGTGCAGAATTGCACAGAATTCTAGAGCCAGCGCTGGTCAGCATCAAGGCAAAAGCCCACCTTTGCTTTTTATGGAAAGCATTACTTTATTTAAGAGACAGATAATGATGCATTTTAATCTACCTTTGTCTTAATTTACAGCAGGTTTTGTATGAATTTTTAACCTTTTAACAAATTCCCACATCTGGTTGATGCCTTTGACAGTAATGAAAATGATTTTATCACATCTGAATCCAGAGCAACTGGCTTTTTTTTTTCTTCTTCTTTTTTTTTTTTTTAAATAAGCTTGTAAAACGTTGGGAACATTGGGAATTGTACATTGTGCTAAGTTAACCTCTCCCGCCTTTTGTAAATGCTCTGGTGGGTTCTTGTTTGGGGGTGTGGTATTTTGTGGCTGGTTTAGTTAGAGGTGAACTCTCAAAGGTATCAAAACTGTGCTTCCATTATTAGTGCAGGAAACAGACAGGCTTCAAGGGAGAGAGAACGTGGAATTTTGCAAGTCCTAATCACAGCTGCAAATGCATGGGATTCTAGAGTTGTTTGTTTTAATGGGGCTTTAAAATAATTAAGCAGAAAGACTTAATACGCAGCCCAGTTCTCCCCGTGAGGACCCAGTGCTGCTGGGTATGCAGCCATGACGGATTCCAGAAGGTCTGGAATCTTCTGCCCTCTCACCTTTGGGTGCAGGCTGGAGTTTCTGACTTCTCCCTGTACGCAGAGGCACATGGAGGCAATAGCGTTCTTCACCAAGACCCCCGTTTCCCAGTGGCAGTCCCTTTTGGAAAGAGCACGGTTCAGCTCTGGTCAGCAGTCCTTTGCAGCAAAGCCTGCCTTTGCGTTGACTTGCAAGATTTTGCGTTTTTTCAGGCAAAAAGTGGTCAAAACGGTTACTATATAATTTGTTCCCAGAGGTTTGAAACATTCAGTGAAACTTTTTAAAACTTTGCATGATGTATTTTTTTTTTTTTAGAAAGTTATTGTTTGAGAATAATGTCTTTTTATACCAGGAAATAGTTATCCTGAAATGACGTTGAAAACTTCTCCTTCCCTTTATTTTTTTTTAATCAATACATGTTAAAGTAACAAGTCCTCAGTACTTGGCGTCTTCATTCATTCCTGTGCTTGAGGAGGGGCGCTGAGGTGCTCAGTTTAGGCCGTGGGGCAGCTGAGGTGGCGGGGTTCTGAGAGGGGGTCTGAAGAGGACCTCCTATCCTCCAGCCTCCTTGCCAGGCCTTCGCATGTTTGCTCTCTTGCATTGTGGACCATGCCCTTCTCCTTGGTGTTTTTGGCTTTGTGATGGGGGCGGGTGGAGGGGTGGAGGAGGCCACCTGAAGAAAATAAACTGATGTCACAGGTCAGTTTTATCCAAATTATTGTTCCAGCAACCCAAGACCTAGCAGCGTGGGGTGCACATCTGCAGCGGGTGGGAGGCATGGGATGACTCCCAAATTAACTCTACCCAAAAGGCGGGGGAACCCTTGGTGCTAAATATGGGAAGGAAGGTTGGCTGTGTGCGAGTGTCCCCTCCCCCTCCCAGTCACCCTGGGCTCAGCGGGGTAGCTCCGGCCGTCTGTAGACTGAGGCAGCAGCAACCGGCGAAGGCGTGCCCACAGGCCCACCTACCTGCTCCACCAGCCAGGAGCCCCACCGGCCCCGTGGGAGCGCTGGGGATTGCTCTGCTGGGCTTGCGAGCCACCCACACGGCCTGGCCTCCCCTTCCTCCCACCTCCCCTTCGCTGACCCATCCCCCGTCGGCCCACCTGAGTGTCTGGTGGGGGCAGGGTGTGGACGTACCTGTCTTGCGGGATGGGATCTACACGGAGGACCAGAGGAGGGTCTTACTGTGACATTCTCAGCTTCAGGGTCTGAGAATGTGGCGGCCTCCCTGCACGCTTGTCAATCCACGCTCGGTCCGCCTGCCCCTGGCAGCTGTGCTGGGAACCAAGAGGGGCCCTCTGGGGGGCCGTCTGCGGCTGTAACTGGAGGCCTGGCCTGGATGTTCGGATCCCAACTTTTTAGCGAGCCTCCCCATGAGAATCACTCCTAAGTCCTACGTTTGCACCAGTCACACCAGGGAGACGCCCCCAGGTCATTTGACTAACTCTCCATTTACTTCTCCAAGAGCCACATCAGACCAGTTGTTCGTCCAGGAGTGACACCAGTTTCCGGGGCCTTGTTAAAGAGCATCCCTTGGGGTTCCCCAGGCCTTTGACTGCAGAGCCTCTTCCCAGCACAGCAGGGGGGCGGTGGGGGTGGCCGGCTGCTTCTCTGGGGCTTTGCTTTCCCTGTCACCGTCGGGGACATCTGGGTAACAGCTAGTCATGAATGTCATCTCGCGCTGGAGCTCATCTCATTGTAATGTTGACATCCGCTGCAAAAGCTGCTGTTGGCGCACTGTCCTGGGCTGCTTGGCAAAGATCCATTGTTGTCGTCAGCTGATGGGGGAGTGGCGCTGAAGGCTGGACCAGCCCGAACCTGGCTGCTTTAAGGACCCGAGCCACTGCTCCTCGCTCTCCTGCCTCTGGCCCTCTGCCCTGGCCCCGGGCAGCGGGGCTTGTGAGTCAGCCTTCAGGACCCACAGCTGCCACCTTCCCTGTCTTTGCCCCCCCCCCGTCTCCCCCCATCCTCCGCCTGACCCGCTGCCTTCCTGTTTAGGTCAGTTCTACAGCAACGGAGGGCATTCTGGGAATGCCGGTGGTGGCGGCGGCGGGGGCGGTGGTGGCTCCTCCGGCTACAGCTCCTACTACCAAGGCGACAACTACAGCTCACCGGTGCCCCCGAAACACGCCGGAAAGAAGCAGCCGCACGGGGGCCAGCAGAAGCCCTCCTACGGCTCGGGCTACCAGTCCCACCAAGGCCAGCAGCAGTCATACAGCCAGGGCCAGTATGGCAACTACGGCCCCCCGCAGGGCAAGCAGAAGGGCTATAACCATGGACAAGGCAACTACTCCTCCTACTCAAACTCCTACAGCTCCCCCGGGGGCGGGGGCGGATCAGACTACAGCTACGAGAGCAAATTCAGTGAGTTGGCTTCCAGGGCCCCGAGGCCTGGCCGGGGTCCGGGCCCGCGGCGCACCCCGTGGAGTGTCGGAAGTCGGCCTTTGCCCTGGCCTCTTGCTCAGGGACTGGAAGGAAGCCGGGTGGTGCTGGCTGCTGGGCGGGCTTTAGGGAAATCGTGGAGGCAGAGAGCCCTTGGCCCAGATCCTCGCCGTTCCCTTCCTGTGGTGGTCTCCGAAGGCGGGTCTAGCGGAGGCCCCTGTGCCAAGGAAGCCTGTGCGCTGAGGCTGGGGCACAAGGGTGGAGTCTGTGAGTCGGGGCCGGCTGCTCTGCGGGGAGCTCTGGGGATGGGCCTGGGGACAGCCTTGCCTCCAGCCCCCAAAGAGCCCGAGTCACTTCTCTGCCCCGCCTCTCCCTCCCCCTCATGCCCACACCCAGCAGGCTGCAGCTGAGCTGGTGGCCGAGCTAGGAAAGCGTAGGTGGGCGCTTGTTTTCTGTGATGGGACACTGGTCCGCAGGCGGGCCAGGGACTTTAAAGAAGCCGTGCTCTCTGTGTGTGGGGGCCAGGGGACACTGGGTGTCTGGTGGCAGCTGGGTGGGAGGAGAGGAAGCTGCCGTGTGGTTCCTGAACTGCTGGGAAGCTTGGGTTGGAGGAGTAGGTGGGAAGGCAGGATGCAGCTGGGCGTCCGAGCTTGGTGAGTGGGCTGACCCAGGGCACGATGACCTTGCAGGGCTGCAGCCGGGCCCCTGGCAGTCCTCAGCTGAATGGACGTGTGCCAGATGAAAGCAGATGGGACAGGGAGATTTGTAAAGGCCCGTGGTCCCAACCTGCCACTTCCAGGGCCATAGCACGAGGATCCCAGACCACCCCAGCCGTGTCTTTGCCAAGGCCCCTTAACCACGCTGTCTTCTCTCCCCCAGACTACAGTGGTAGTGGAGGCCGGAGCGGCGGGAACAGCTACGGCTCAGGCGGGTCGTCCTACAACCCAGGGTCACACGGGGGCTACGGCGGTGGCTCTGGGGGCGGCTCCTCATACCAAGGCAAACAAGGTGGGCCTGGATCGGCAGGTGGCACAGTACGGTGGGGGGGGGGTCAGGTGATGAGGGGCATCGCCTGGCGTGGACAGGCGGGTGGCGTAGGCAGGGCTGCAGTGGCACCTGCCGTCTGGCTTCCATGTGGGATGAGAACAGGAAGAGGGAGACACGGGCACACGGGCTCAGGCATACCTCCAGCTTCTCGGCTTTTCAGAAGCCAGACGTCCAGATGTTGCCTTGGTCTTAAAATGATGGCTCCTGTATGGAAAATGCTCACAACACCGAGGCCCAGACAGCCTGCTGTGTGGCCTCTGGTTCAGGGGCTTCAGGCTCAGCCTTGTGCTCGGGCGGCCCCCAGAGACAGCTCCCGCTGCCGCTGTCTGTACAGGACAGATCCCCACCGCTTACGAACCAGGGTCCGGTGGTTCCACCTCACAGGGTGTCGGTGACCGCCAGCCCTGATGACCCAGGAAAGGCCCTGAGCGAGCGGCCGTGCCCGTCCTGCTCCCCTGCGGCGGTCTCACAAGCGGACACAGCACGGCTCGGGTGCTGGCCGTGGTCCTGAGCTGTGATGGCAGGGCGAGCCCCGTGCTGCTCCCCTCTAACCCCACTCCTCTCTTCCCTAGGAGGCTACTCGTCACAATCAAACTACAACTCCCCGGGGTCCGGCCAGAATTACAGCGGCCCTCCCAGCTCCTACCAGTCCTCACAGGGCGGCTACGGCAGAAACGCAGATCACAGCATGAACTACCAGTATAGATAAAGCCCCCCCGAGGGGTGAAGATTTGTACCTTCTGCACTTACCCCTCGTTGTAAGATTCAGTTTTATGCATCACAGTTAACACGTCAGCTGGCCTCCAGGTCCCCTCCGCCCCAACCTGTCCACGTTGCTGTGTTGTGAGGTGCAGCTGGTCACTGCTGTGACCCGTCCTGTGACCCATATTTAGCCGTGTTTGGGACTTCCATGTCTTCAGTGGTTTGTTAGTTGCCATCACAACTTTGTCTGAGTAGAGTTTTTTGAGTTCTTGCAGTTACGTATCCCTCTGTCTATTTACAATTGGTGTTAGTGTTAACTCAGTTTGTCTTTAAATAGCTACAGAAGGGATACATCATCTGTTAATGCTTTTGTGAAGTGAGTTAAACGAGCTTTCTGTATTTTAATGCTTTAGTGTTTCAGTTTTATAAGTGAAGATTTTATTTTAAAAACCAGTGGGAAAGAGTGGGGTTTTTTTGTATGTCTGGATCATTCAGGCAGTACATCTGAATTAAGCTGAATGTAGACAAATAAAGAAAAAGAAAACTCTGTGCCCGTCGTAGGCCTGGGTGTCTGACCCACCGGCAGTGTGATGGGCAGGTTCCTCCACTGTTCCCGGCACGGGAATGCAGGGCGGGGGTGGCAGGGCAGTCCCCTGTCACAAAAGAGTCCAGCTCCAGGCCTCTAGATGCCTTAACTCCAAGGTTGGCTGGGGCCAGCAAGCCGGTTACATCGGGACCTTGTATTCCTGATGGTCTGCAGAGTGGCTTACGAGCGGCCCAGGCTGGTGTCTGGGGATTTGCTCTCACAGTTCTGCATGCTTGCTTTTCTGCTCCATGGGTTCTGGTGTTGTTTTAAGTGCAGTTTCACGTCACCATGGAGTAAAATGTCCGAGGTTTGGTACGTGTAACCTGACTTGAAAAAGGCCAGTTGAATCTGGCTAAAGCATCCCAAGATCTGGGAAACCCAGCCATAGAACCTTCCATGTCGGGATGGCGTGGTTTTGTGTCTCCAGCAGCCTTCCTGGAGCAGCCCCCGCCCAGACGCTCAGTCGTGGCCCAGCCCCGTTCTAGCAGGCTTCCCTGGAGCGGTGCTTCTCAATCTCAGGCAGTGTTGCATTGTTTGGGGGACCATTGGTCACCCAGTGGGCAGAGGCCAATGATGCTACTGACTGTTCTGCGCTTAAGTGTCAGCTGTGTGAAGGTGAAGGAACCTGCCCTGAGAGCAGCGCTTTCCAGCTCTGGCCCTGCCCCGGGGGGAGGGGGCGGAGTGGGGGAGGCGCCCTGACTGCCTTTGCCCGGGCTTCAGCTCTGTCTCGGAAGAGCCTCTTGGGTGAGGCCTGGGGCTGTACCTCTGCAGAGACCCTTCTCCTCTCGCCGTCTCTCTGCCATCTCTCAGACCAGGCACCATTTGAGTTCTGAACCCCGGGAAGTCCCTTGGCCTCCTGTACTTGGTTAACTATAGCCTTTGGAAGAAAATCAAACTATTCTTGACTCAGAACTCTTCCGCTGAGGCAGAAAATCTAATGTGCCTTCAAAGGATGAAGCTTTGCCTTGGAGAGGTGAATGAAAGGTGTTCTGCACTAGACAAAAGAAAACACTGGAAGAATTTTGTCTTCTGGAGCAGAGGAGGACCCAGGTGGTCTAATTCGGGGAGAGGGAGGGATGGTATGATGCCCACCTGAGAGGTGGTCCACAGTGCGAGCATTCAGGTGGGCCTGCCGCAAGCTGGGATCCCTCGAGTGTGTGTGCGCGCACCAGTGGAGATGAGACAGACCTGAGGGATGGGTCCCAACCCAGACTTTGATGAGATGTGACATGTCCATGACCCATCGTCTCTCCTAGACACTTCCAGGGGGCTGGGACAGAGAGCCCCTCCAGATCATTAGGACCTTGTATTGAAATGAGAAGACACAGGCTGTGGATGGAGCCTGCAGCGCTCAGAAACCCACGGGAAGGAAGGCCCTACCCCGCCTGCCAAATACCTTCAAGCTGTGGGCCTGTGTTCTTGGCACGAGTCTCTCCTTAACACCAGTTTCCAAAGCGCTGACCACCACCACATTGAAGTTTCTGAATGCAGGCCCTTCACAAGGGCAGGAATCTTGAAGAAGGCTGTGGAAAGAGCTCCCAGCCCATCTTGAAGTGGAGGCCTCAGGGAGCTGTGACTTGGTGCCACGTTCCTCTTTTGAAAAAGGGTGGCTCCCTGGGTGGCTTGTCTCGAATAGATGCCTGTCTCGGTCCCTGGGGCCGGCCTGAGCGCTCCCCAAGCCAGGGCAAGTTTTGTTGACCTGAGAGACATTGTCAAGAACAGAGCAGTATCGGAGTAGGATCTTGCCCTGTTTCTTCCAGCTTCTGGTGACTTAGGGCATTCCTTGGCTCATGACAGCATCACTCCAGGCTCCGCCTCCTTCACGGGACCTCCCTGTGAGCCTCTGTGTCTCAGGCTCCTTTCTTACAAGGACACCAGTCATTGGATTTCAACTCCACCCTAATCCAGGGTGAGCGCATCCCAAGACCCTTCACATTCACGGGTATCGGCAGTTAGGACTTGGATGTACGTTTTGGGGGGAACACTATACAACCCACTAAAGAGTTGGGTGAAGGCTTTATCCCATGCTGCTGGCACAGCCCTGGGAGGTGGTCAACCACCATCAGGATCATCACGTGGTCAGCATGGCGGGGACCTGTCCCAAGGCGACAGCTCATGAGCACACATCCCTTGGCACCCTAACTGCTTGGGGACCTCGGTGCTAATGGCACTGTGATGCAGCTGGTCAGCAACAGTATCACAGCCCGCAGGACCTGCCGTCCCAGCAAGCTGGGTTTAGGAAGGTATGGCCGACACGGTGAACATGGAGAAGACCTGGGTGCTGGCATGTCATTCAGAGCTGACCAAGGCCTTTCCAGGCCTGTTGCCCTCTAAGTGCAGGAAGCCAGCCTGGAGGAGGTTCTCACTGAGATGCTTCTCCAGGTCCTCCTCGGCCAGGGACACGGTGGGCAACAGAGATGCCTCAGCCCACATGCTGCCAGAGGAGGGTGTCCTGCCTCTTTCAGTCACCAGCAGAGATCACCAGGGGAGCATCAGCGGGAAGAGCCAGTGGCCCACATGCTTACTCAGCAAGTTGATCAGGGTAGGGTGCTTACCTGGTGGATAGACCATGAGGGTCAATGACCCAGGACTGGACACCACCCCAGAGGGCTCAGGATGCCTTTGGAGGGAGGAAGGGAGAAAGACCTCATGACTGAGGCAAAAGCTGGCCACATGAGTGGTGGGCCGAGATGAAGTCAGAGGGGCAGAGGCTTGCAGAGAATTTCAGCTGATCCCATAGGGGAGGTGGGGGGTGGTTGAGACCTAGGGCCAAAGGGGGCCTCTGAGCAGTAATGGGACACAGATTCAGGATTTCCTCCTTCCTACATTGAGCAGAATCACTAGGGTCCTGGTTGTCCCTGTGGGCTGGGGTCCAGTCTGACCTGGAAGTTGACACCCAGTTGCTTCCACTCCGGCAGGGAAACGTGTGCTGTCCCTCTGACCACTGACCATTGTGTAGTCAGCCAGGCCTGTCCTACCCCGAAGGACTGACCTGGTTCCCCAGGCCTGGCCTTTTGCAGCTGGGCTCAGCCTCAGGATGCAGTCTGCAGGGGTGAGCCCCACATGGTCTGTGCCCTTTGCAAGCCTATCCTGAGACTTCTGGACACAATTATGGGCCACACACCAGCAAGCCTTCTTGGCCTGGATGCTCATTCTAATCCATCCCAGAATAAATGGAAACTTCATGTGTTCATTGTTTCATTCACTCCACATGTATTTATTGGGTGTTGCTTATTTATCAGTCCTGTACAGGGTGCTGGGAACATGAACCTGGGTCCTGCTCTCATGGAGCTTCCAGGTACCAAGAGAGCCCTGTTCCAGCTTGTGCTGCGAGTGTCAGGGAAGGCTTTCTGTGTTTTTTTTTTTTTTTTTTTTTTTAAGATTTTTTAAATTTATTTGAGACAGAATGAGAGACAGAGAGCATGAGAGGGAGGAGGGTCAGAGGGAGAAGCAGACTCCCTGCCGAGCAGGGAGCCCGATGCGGGACTCGATCCCGGGACTCCAGGATCATGACCTGAGCCGAAGGCAGTCGCTTAACCAACTAAGCCACCCAGGCGCCCAAGGCTTACTGTGTTTTAAGAAAGACAGGACAGTTAAATCGGAACCAGAAGGTGTGTTAGGGAGGGTGAGCACAGGTTATGCTGTGCACAGGAACAGCATGCATAAAAGTTCAGCTGTGTGTTGGGAATGGACTTCAGGCAGCTGAAGTCGGGCGGGTGAAGCATTCTGGTTGTAAGATGAGAAGTGTGGCTGGATGTTCAGTGGGGGCCAACCACTACAGGGCCTTGACAGCTGAGCAGTGGAGTTGTTTTTTTTTTTTTTTTTTTTTTGACAGACAGCGAGAGAGGGAACACAAGCGAGGTAGTGGGGGAGGGAGAAGCAGACTCCCCACTGAGCAGCGAGTGCGACTCGGGGCTCGATCCCAGGACCCTGGGATCATGACCTGAGCTGAAAGCAGGTGCTTAACGACTGAGCCACCCAGGCGCCCCGAGCAGTGGAGTTCTAACATTGATTCTGAGGGCAGTGGGGAGCCATGGAAAGACTCTGAGCTGTGGAGAACCCAGGCTCAGTTATGCTTCAGAACAGTCTTTTTGGCTGTTGGGCAGAGAATAGGTGTGTGGGAGAGGTGAGAATGCAGGCCAGGTGATCAGCAGAGACTCCCGTCCTGGAGCATTTGAACTGAGGTTCAGGGTGATTTAGGCCATAGAGTTCATTGGACTAGGTGAGGAAACTGCCCCCAAACCTGAGAGAGGTAACACCTACATGTCCCAGACAGGGTAGACGGGCCCAGAGAGGGGCACTGCATTGCCTCAGTCCACAAGAAGTAGAGGGCCCATAGGCACTCTGCTCTGTGGTTGGGAGACAAGCAGAAAAGTCTAAAACGCCATGGAAGTCATTTTCCTGAGGTCGCAAGTCCTGGGCCCATGCCATTTCCAACGTTTCCCAAGAAGCTGACAGCTAAGCTCAGCCTACTTGGCACTGGGCTGCGGGGGTGAGAATATCACGGAATGATAGGCTCCATTCCTGGCTGGATAAACTGGAGCAAACATTACTCTCCAGCCTCCTGGGACAACCAACCAACACGGGGCTCCAAGTACTCTGTCAAATATTCGAAACCCCCAACTCCTCTTCCAGAGGTTTTGGATTCCCAGTCCGTGCCTAGAAATCCGACTCCTGCTCTTCTGGGTCCCGAGACCTCAGTATCAGCTTTTTTTTTTTTTTTTTTTTTTTTAAGATTTTATTTATTTGACAGAACGAGAGGGGGAACACAAGCAGGGGGAGTGGGAGAGGGAGAAGCAGGCTTCCCGCTGAGCAGGGAGCCTGATGTGGGGCTCGATTCCAGGACCCTGGGATCATGACCTGAGCCGAAGGCAGACGCTTAAGGACTGAGCCACTCAGGCGCCCCTCAGTATCAGCTTCTTAAAGCCAACTACCTAGTCCCCGGGTTTGGGGGCTTCCCTGGGCGACGGTGGCGTTCCCAGGGAAGGGGAGGTTGGGAGATCTAGTGGGAACCCCCTCCAGCCACATCTTGAACCTGTGCCCGGGTCTCCACGCGAGGGGCGCAGAGGCCGGCTCAGGTCCGGCCTCTGACAACACCTCCCTTACCAAACCACGTGCTCTCCGCCCTTAGGTCGGCCTGGTGCACACGGCCCGCCCGTCTTATGCCCAATCAACAGACCCGGTATGGAACAGAAGTATTCTACAGGCGCCGCTCCCAGCAGGCCCCGCCTCGAGACGCCACGCCCTTGTGCCGTCAGCAAACTTCCAATTGGGCGCTGTTGCAGGCTCCGCCCTGGGCCGCGCCCCCATAGGTGTCTCCCGCCTGGTGCTCACATCCAATGGCTTGGGAAAGGACGCTTTCCCAAGGCTCCGCCCCCAGAGCCGCCGCTTCCCTGGTCTCCCGGCAACGCGAGGGGTGCTGTCCAGCGTTCTGAAGCCGCGCTCCCAGCGCCTTTCGAATAGTGGCGGCCTTCTGGCGCCCCCAGCCCTCCCTGCTGAGCAGCGCCGAAACCCCTAAAGCAGAGGTCAGTGAATCTCAGCTGCACCCCACCTCCACACCCCAGTTTACCTCTTGGTAATAGAAAGAGCTTGCTTCACTTCACGATCTGCTAAGGAACCCCCACCCTCCCATCTAGCTCAGAGGGAAGCTAAAGTCCTTGTTGCAAACCAGAGGCCTTGCAGAATCTCACGCTGTGACCTTCTCACCCTCGTCTTCCGTTCCTTCCCTCACTCCCTCCAGCCACACTCATCTCCCCGCTGCACTGCAAACAATCCAGACACATTCCCACTTCAGGGCCTTTGCTCTCAATTGTCCCACTGCCTGAAATGCTCTCTCTCGAGATTCTTCTTCTTCTTTTTTAAGATTTTTCTTTTAAGTAATTACACCCAACATGGGGCTCGAACTCACAACCCAGAGATCAAGAGTCACATGCTCCACCAACTGAGCCAGCCAGGTGCCCCTCTGAGATCTTATATTATGACTCCTCCCAGATCTCCTTCCGGTCTTAACTCACATCTCACCTTCTCCATGAGTCTGATCGTGACCAGCCTATTTAAAATAGTCACCTCCCAGGGGCGCCTGGCTAGTTCAGCTGTTAAAGCATATGACTTTTGATCTTGGGTTCGTGAGTTCGAGTGCTACATTGGGTGTAGAGATGACTTAATAATAGTCACTTCCCAAATCTTTCTCCCCTCCCCTGCCCTCTTTATTCCCCAGCACTCATCACCACCTGAGACATGGTATGTTTTATTTATTTTTCTTGTTTGTTCATTCAGGGCATGGATTTTTGTCTCCTTGTTCGCTGCTGTGTTGCCAGCAGTGAGAACAGCCTGAAACAGAGTGAACGCTTCAAGATGTTTATTACACATATATTCATGTGCATATTTGAGCACTTAAAGTGTGCTAGACCCTGCATACCATCATAATGACCTTCTGCCCCAATTTAAAGATAAAGAAAGTGACACTCAATGAGTGGCATCACCTGACCAAAGTCACCTGGCTTCTGAGTGGTGATGCCAGAGTACCCCCCAACACCGATTCCTCTGTTTGTAACCTTTTCACCCCTGCTCTATGCTGCAATCCCTAATACTGCTTTCTCCTTCAGGAAAAGAAGCTGTATGAAAGGGTGGCTTCACAGAGCTCAGACAGGACTAGATTTCAATTCCTGTTCCTTGATTATGAGCCGGTGAATGTTTCTGCCTCAGTTCATTCATAAAATGGGAATGATAGTAGTACCCACCTCACTGTACTGTGGGAAGTGATGACACTGTAGGGCTTACCAGACAACTGGCACACCCGGGCACCTGCTCCGATACTGTTGGCTCTTAATCATCATCAAATTATTATTTGAGGGAATTAAACAAACAAACAAAAAACCAAAACACATTTAAAAAATCAGGAGGATGGCTCTTTCCCTCGGCCTCGGCGGTGGCGGATTGTGCAGACATGGCCAAGATTAAGGCTTGCAACTTCCCGGCAAGAAGGAAGAGCTGCTTAAACCGCTGGAAGACCTGATGGTGCAGCTGTCCCAGCTGCGTCGCCAAAGTGACAGGTGGCGTGGCTTCCCAGCCGCCAAGATCCGAGTTGTTGGCATCTCTATCGCCTGTGTTCTCACTGTCATCAACCAGACTCAGAAAGAGAACCTCCGAGAATTCTACAGGAGTAAGAAGTACAAGCCCCTGGAGCTGTGGCCTAAGAAGACGCGTGCCATGCGCCACGACTGAAGAAGCATGAGGAAAACCTGAAGAAGAAGAAGAAGAAGAAGAAGAAGAAGAAGAAGCAGAAGAAGCAGCAGCGGAAGGAGCGGCTGCACCTGCTGCGGGAGTCTGCGGTCAAAGCCCGAGGACCCTCATCTATAAAACACAAACTGGCAATAATAATAATAATAAATCAGGAGGATGACAGGACTAATACTATGTCTTGCAAAACACATAGAGGGGCGCCTGGCTGGCTCAGTTGGTAAAGCATGCAACTCTTGATGTTGGATTAGTGAGTTTGAGCCCCACAATGGGGGTAGAGTTTAGTTAAAATATATATATATATATAGGGGCGCCTGGGTGGCTCAGTTGTTAAGCGTCTGCCTTCGGCTTGGGTCATGATCCCGGGGTCCTGAGATCGAGCCCTGCATCGGGCTCCCTGCTCGGCGGGAGGCCTGCTTCTCCCTCTCCCACTCCCCCTGCTTGTGTTCCCTCTCTCGCTGTGTCTCTCTCTGTCAAATAAATAAATAAAATCTTGAGGTGCCTGGGTGGCTCAGTTGTTAAGCATCCCAGGGTCCTGGGATCCCAGGGTCCTGGGATCGAGCCCCACATCGGGCTCCCTGCTCTGCAGGAGGCCTGCTTCTCTCTCTCCCACTCCCCCTGCTTGTGTTCCCTCTCTGGCTGTCTCTCTCTCTGTCAAATAAATAAATAAAATCTTAAAAAAACAATAAAATTAAAAAAAAAAGAATTGCACCCCGGGGCTCCTGGGTGGCACAGGTGGATAAGTGTCTGACACAGGGAAGCTTTCTTACAGTACTACTGTAGCTGTCAATTGCTGTAATCACCTAGAAAAAAGTTGGTACTGCCTAGTAAAGTTGAATATCCATCCGGTCTAGGGTCTTGCAAGTCCATTCCTAAGATTCTTGCACAGGTGTGCAAGGAGATTCGTACACAGAGGCTCACAGGAGAACTGTTTATAATAACAAACTGAGAAGTTCACAAGATCATTGACTAGAGAATGAATAAGTACACTGTGGTATATTTATACCAATATCCGACTGTATGTTGATTTGCAGAAGAAAAGAATGGACCACAACTAAATAGGACACCAATAAATCTTAGACACATAATCATATGAAACAAAGTAAATCACAGGGACCACGTGTGGTATAATGATTTTTTAAAAAGATTTTATTTATTTATTTTGAAGAGAGCACAAGCAGGGAGAGCAGCAGGCAGAGAAAGAGGGAGAAGCAGGCTTCCCACTGAGCAGGGAGCCCCACTTGGGGCTCCATCCCAGGACCCCGGGGTCATGACCTGAGCTGAAGGCAGATGCTTAAGGACTGAGCCACCCAGGTGCCCCTATATTGATTTTATTAGAAGAGATGGGATAGGCACTGAGGGACAACTGGCAGTTTCTCTCATGCCTCCTTTTTGCTATCGAATTATAATATAACTATTATCGAACTTATATTTGGGGTAAATCATAATGTTGGGAATGATGTTGAGGCAATTCCATGAGAGAATGATCTATGACTAGTGGAAAATGGCAGTTCAAAGATTCCATTTGTAAAAAGTATTAAAGTATTAAAACTTGTGGAAGATGAAAAAAAAACCCATAGTATATCTAAATGAATCAATCAAAAACAACAGCAACAGGAAGAAAATACGTACTTGCTAATACATGCTGACAAATGTCTGTGAGTATAGACAAGAATGAATAAATACTAAACATTATTTAATATTAAGGGGTGAGAACTGTTTTGACAGAACAGGAGTGGGAAAGATAATTCATGCCATACACTTTATCCACATTTAAAAAAACATGTGGATATATATTATCTATTTTATTTAGTTATTAATTATTTTTTTAAGATTTTATTTATTTATTTGAGACAGAGAGAATGAGAGACAGAGAGCATGAGAGGGAAGAGGGTCAGAGGGAGAAGCAGACTCCCTGCCGAGCAGGAAGCCTGATGCGGGACTCGATCCCGGGACTCCAGGATCATGACCTGAGCCGAAGGCAGTCGCTTAACCAACTGAGCCACCCAGGTGCCCTAGTTATTAGTTATTTTTTAAAGTAATTTATAGGGGTGCCTGAGTGGCTCAGTCAGTTGAGCGTCTGTCTTCGGCTCAGGTCATGTTCCTGGGGTCCTGGGATTAAGCCCTGCGTGGGGCTCCTTGCTCAGCGGGAATTCTGCTTCTCCTTCTCCCACTCCCCCTGCTTGTGTTCCCTCTCTCGCTGTGTCTCTGTCTGTCAAATAAATAAATAAAGTATTTTTTTAGGATTTATTTATTTATTTATTTATTTATTTGAGAGAGAGAGAGAGAGATAGTGACAGAGATAGCAAGAGAGAGCACAGGGGAGGAGAAGGAGAAGCAGGCTCCCGCTGAGCAGGGAGCCAGATGCAGGGCTCGATCCTAGGACCCTGGGATCATGACCTGAGACAAAGGCAGATCCTTAACTGACTGAGCCACCCAGGCCCCCCAGTAAATAAAATCTTAAAAAAAAAAAAAGGAATTTCTACACCCAATATGTGGCTTGAACCCACAATGCTGAGATGAAGAGTTGTATGCTCTTGCGGCTGAACCAGCCAGAGGCCCCATATATTATCTATTTTTAAATCTTAAATAAGGTTATTTAATTAAAATTGAATCCTCAGTAAAGCTTATTACACTCCTCTGTTTTCAAAATTTTCGTTGTATTTGATGTATTTTTTTTTGTGTGTGTACATGTTTTCATTTCTTTATATAAATTTTTACTATAGGGCACCTGGGTGGCTCAGTGGGTTAAGCCCTTGCCTTTGGCTCAGGCCTTGATCCCAATGTCCTGGGATGGAGTCCTGCATGGGCTCCCTGCTCAGCCTGCTTCTTCCTCTCCCTCTGCTGCTCCCCTTGCTTGTGCTCTCTCTGTCAAATAAATAAATAAATGAAATATTTAAAAAATAAAAAATAAATTTTTACTGTGGAAAAATAGATAAAATATAAAATTTACCATTTTAACCTTTTTCCATATTTGCTTAAGAGATTCCCCCCAGTTTTACTGAGATATAATTGATGTATAACATTGTATTAGTTTTATTTACTTAGTCATTTGTTTATTTATTTATCTAAAGTAATCTCTACATCAATGTGGAGCTCGAACTCACAACCCTGAGATCAAGAGTTGCTCAAGGGGGCTCCGGGTTGATGCAGTTGGTTAAGCATTTGACTCTTGGTTTCGGCTCAGGCCCTGATCTCGGTATCGTGGGATTCAGCTCCCCGTGGGCTCTGCGGTCAGCGAGGAGTCGGCTTGAGATTCTCTCTCCCTCTCCCTCTGCCCCTCCTGATCCTGCTCTGTGTCTCTCTCTCTCTAAAATAAATAAAGACATCTTAAAAAAAGAAAAAAAGAGTTGCACACTCTACCAACGGAGGCAGCCAAGCAGCCCTGTATTAGTTTTAAGTGTACAACATAATGATTTGATATATGTATATATTTCAAATGTATTTAAGACTTGTAATCTCTAGAGCACCTGGGTGGCTCAGTCTGTTGGGCGTCTGCCTTTGGCTCAGGTCACGATCCCAGATTCCTGGGACTGAGTCCTGCATCAGGCTCCCTGCTCAGCGGGGAGCTTGCTTCTCCCTCTGTCTGCTGCCCGCCCCCCGCAATGCTCTCTCTCTCCTGTAAATAAATAAAATAATAAAAAAAAAAAGATTTGTAATGTGGGACTTGAACTCACACCTCTGAGATCAAGAGTTGCACGCTCTACTGAGCACGCCAGCCAGGCGCCCCTCAAATGTATTTGATGTTTGAATAGGAAATACAAACACCAAAAAATATTAAAAGGGAATCATTTTCCTGCATGCTGGCATGAGGAACTTTGCTGATCCCCTCCCCAGTGAAACTGGTGGGAAGTGTTAAGATAACAACCATTGAACGTCTCTGGAAGTGGTCCTAAGGGCAAACTGTAAATGAGGAAGCAACTATTCAAGAAAATCTATGAGAAAATTCAATTAGAATAGTGAGTGTTTCTGGTATTTGGTATCTTTTACCTCCCTTCCTTCTACCAGTTCAGTGGGAGGGAAACTCCACTCCAGACTGGAGCAACCAGGAGCATAAGGTTTGCTCACTCTTAGTCCCCAGTTGGGGAATTATGTTCTCAGGAGGGGCAACACCTCAGCATTTCTTGCCCTGCTCTCAGCCACCTGTGTTGGGGGTGTTTGAGGCAAGTGCAGCTCTTCAAAGGGAGAACAACTGAGAATTTCTAAAATTATGGAAAGGCTCTGATCACCAGATCCAAGAATTTGAAAGAATCTCAAATAGGATAAATTAAAAGAAATCCACCCTGAGACACATCATATAAAATTGCAAAATGGAGGGGCGCCTGGGTGGCTCAGTCGTTAAGCGTCTGCCTTCGGCTCAGGTCATGATCCCAGGGTCCTGGAATCGAGTCCCACATCGGGCTCCCTGCTCTGCGGGAAGCCTGCTTCTTCCTCTCCCACTCCCCCTGCTCGTGTTCCCTCTCTCGCTGTATCTATCTCTGTCAAATGAATAAATAAAATCTTTTTTTAAAAAAATTGCAAAATGGCAAATAAAAAAGAATGATTTTTACAAAGATTTTATTTATTTATTTATTTAAGAGAGAGAGAGAGAGAGAGAGAGAGACGGAGCACAAGCAGAGGGAGGGGCAGAAGGAGAGGGAGAAGCAGACTCCCTGCTGAGCAGGGAGCGGGATGTGGGGCTCCACGTGGGGCTGGATCCCAGGACCCTGGGATCATGACCTGAGCCGAAGCAGACGCTTAATGACTGAGCCACCTAGGCATCCCTAGAGTGTATTTAAAAACAAAACAAAACAACAAACAACAAACCTTAAATCAGTAGCTAAAAATATGTCTTCGAGGAAAACCACATAACTGGATGGATATACAAGTGAGGACGATAAAATATTCCAGAAAAAGGGGTGCCTGGGTGGCTCAGTCATTAAGTGTCTGCCTTCGGCTCAGGTCATGATTCCAGAGTCCTGGGATCGAGCGCCGAATCTGGCTCCCTGCTCAGCAGGAAGGCTGCTTCTCCCTCTTCCACTCCCCCTGCTTGTGTTCTCTCTCTCACTGTGTCTCTCTCTGTCAAATAAATAAATAAAATCTAAAAAAATAAAAAAATAATAAAAAAATATACTCCAGAAAGAGAAAATTCCAATCTCGCACAATTTCTTCCAGCAAATAGATATTTGAACACCAAACTCAGGCAAAGACAGTATGAGAAAGGAAATCTATAGACCAATATAATTTATAACAGATGGGATGCAAACATTTTACATAAAATATTAGTTAAAATTAATGTAAAATGCCATAGTATATAAAAAGGTACCATGACCAAGTTGAGTTTGTACAAGAATGGAAATAAATGTGTTAATAAATAAGAAAATAAATTCATGTCATTGGGCATTTTAAATTAAATGAGCCAAATAATATAGCTATTTCAGATCCTGAAAAAAAACATAAAATATTTATTTATGACAAAAATCCGTTAGTGAACTAGGAATTGAAAGGACCTTTCTTGGGCGCCTGGGTGGCTCAGTTGGTTAAGCGATTGCCTTCAGCTCAGGTCATGATCCCGGAGTCCCGGGATCGAGTCCCGCATCGGGCTCCCTGCTCAGCAGGGGGTCTGCTTCTCCGTCTGACCCTCTTCCCTCTCGTGCTCTCTGTCTCTCATTCTCTCTCTCAAATAAATAAATAAAATCTTAAAAAAAAAAAGGACCTTTCTTTACTTGATACAGTGTATCTTCCAAAAACTTACAGTAGCTATCATACATAATGGTGAAATGTTGAAAGCATTTCCTTTAAAATATCTTCAGGAATATTGTATGGGGAGTAAAGAACAGAAGCCACAAGACCAGGGAGGTATCTAGTGTAATAATACAGGCAAGAGATGCTGGTGGCTGGGCCAGAGTGAGAGCTACAGAGGGGGTGTAAACTAGTCGATTCTGTTTAGATTTTGAAAGCAGAGCAGCTAGAATTTGCTGGTAAATCAGATGTAGGGAGTAAGACAGAGTTCAAGGACCACCCATAAGTTTCTGGTCTGAGTTCCTGGAAGGATTGAGCTGCAATTATTAAGAAGGGGAAGATGGAGGGACCTAGGCAAGCTTGGGAGGGACAATCAGGAGCCCTGCTTTAGAGATCTAGAGTTTGAGTGCCTACAGACACCCCATGGAGATGTCAAAGAGACATCTGTAAAGAGGAGAGGGGAGTTCAATGAGAGAGGACTACACTGGAAATTAAAATTGGGCATTGTCAACATATAGAAGTTTTTTTTTTTTTTTAAGATTTTTATTTATTTATTTATTTTTTATTTATTTATTCATGAGAGACAGAGAGAGAGAGAGGCAGAGGGAGAAGCAGGCTCCCAAGGAGCAGAGAGCCCGATGCGGGACTCGATCCCAGGACCCTGGGATCATGACCTGAGCCGAAGGCAGAAGCTTAACCATCTGAGCCACCCAGGCGCCCCAACATATAGAAGTTTTAAAAGCACAATATGAGTTACAAGCAACATGATACAGCGTGATGGGGTGGAGCATTATTAAGATTGGGGAAGTCAGGAACAACTGATAAAATACGTCAGCCATGGGAAAATCAGAAAGGAAGAGTATTGCAGATAAAGCAATAGCAAGTACAAAGGCCCTGAGGTGGGCCTCATGGTTGGGCGTTTTCCGGACTTGGCCTCAGTGAAGACTCTCCGCCACCTGGAAAAGGGGGCATCATTAGCCCAAGGCTCCTTGAAGGTCAGAGTCTTGCTCAGATAGCACAATTTAGGCCAGTGGGCCACTGAGAGGAAGGATTCTGGGGCAATGCCGCCCTCTGCTGGCCGGGACGTATATCCGCTCCATTTTCAACGATAACAGTTGTTATATATTATATAATATTTTGCTATTATTAGTGGAACACACAGTGCTCAATAAACCCATGACCCAGCCTCTCTCATCCCTGTGTGGCATGAAGACTGGCACTAATAGGTATGTATATATTAGGTCTACACTGAATAAATGAACGAATAAATGTGGCTAGGTTCTGAGTCTGAGCCTCTTCTGCAAATCTGGGTTTCTTTCATTGTATAAATCAATGTATATTGAGCACGTACTGTGTACTAGGTGCTGTTCTAAGTTCTTGGGACAAATCAGTGGGCAAGATAGACAAAAGCCCGTGCAAGGCAGCTTATTAAGATCTCTACATATCCATGCTTCTCAATCTTCACAAAATTTATTTTTATTTGTTAAGAGATTTTAAGTAATCTCTACACCCAATGTGGGGCTTGAACCTAAAACCCCGAGATCAAGAGGGGTGTGCTCTACCGACTGAGCCAGCCAGGCGCCCCTTTTACAACGTTTTTAATGCCGAGACACTATTATTCGCCCCATTTTTAGAGGAGAAAATTATCCCTTAGAGAGAGACTTTGATTGTAGAGCGGACAAGTGACGGGGGTGGGATTCGAACCCATAACAATACTTATTTTCCCCGACAACACGTAGCGGGTGGGAACGAACCGAGCGCTCCGCGGGGACGAGCAGGCTGGCGTCCGTTGCCATGGTTCCCCTACGCACTTCCAAAGCGACGCCAGCTCCCTGCCTCACGTGACTTCAGCCAATATGGCGCCGCCCAGGGTGTTGCGGTGTCCACGTGGTTCCGTTAGCTAAGATGGCGTCAGCAGTTAGCCCGACGTCCCTGGAGTCGGCCCCGCGGATCATGCGGCTGGTGGCCGAGTGTAGCCGATCCAGGGCCCGGGCAGGGGAGCTGCGGCTGCCGCACGGGCCGGTAGCCACTCCCGTGTTCATGCCAGTGGGCACGCAGGCCACTATGAAGGGCATCACGGCCGAGCAGCTGGACGCCCTGGGCTGCCGCATCTGCCTGGGCAACACCTATCATCTGGGTCTGAGGCCGGTGGGTGGGTTCTGCCTCGGTGGCGCGGCGGCGGAGAG